GTTTTAAACGAGGAAAGTTTGGATTTAGGACCATTTGGCTGCTGGAAAAATTTTGTGTTTTGTCAAGGGAGTGAAACTGGAAATTTCAGTTGTTTTTGGAATAAAAATTTCTGGAAAAAAAATGTTTAATCTGTATTTGTCTATGAATAATGAGATTTCGATTGCAATCTTGGACAGGATATTGTTGCAAATCTTGTCCCTGTGTTATGTACCTGTTAGTAAATTTAAACATTTGAAATTTTGGCTAAATTGATTTAAACATTTGAAATTTTGGCTAAATTGCTATAAGAAATGATTGTTGGATGCTAAGGGCTAATGATTGATGAAGCCCTTGGCTATTTGAGTGATTTTTACAAGCATTAAAGTTTTGATGAAATTAACTGCTGGAATTACTTGTTATTATTTCTACTTGGTGGATAAAACCCTTGCGGTTTAGTCGATGGAATTTCTTGGAGGCCTTGAATTTATTGTGTTTAAATGTGATCTGATATGAGCTTGTTGAAACCAAGAGCTAATGATTGACGAAGCCTTGGTCATTTGTTTTATTTTTGATCAGAAATGAATTTGTTGAAACCTAGGGCTAATGATTGTGGAAGCCCTAGTGATATTGCTGTTTGAAATGTAATTTTGCTATATTGGCAAATCTGAGATATAATGTGCTTGTGAATCGGAATCTGAAAAGTTCGTTTTGACTCTGTGAACTTGAGTATTTTCAAATCGGGCTACGTGAATATATTGTACTCTATGTATTAAACTACAAAAAATTCGTCTTGTACGATCACGTGAGAAATTCGGGATTTGAAATACATTGTCAACTAGTTATTTCTTTTCCTGGCTTAAATTAGCTTTATTATTTTTAGAAAATGATTGCACCTTTAGAAAGAAAAGTATTTTTAAGGAAACTATACGAAATATTTACTATTTTTACTAGTTTTAACTTTAAGTTGATTGTCGATTTATTTCGAGAAAATAAACTAGTCATATACTAGATAATTTTTTTTATATACGTAAACCAAGAACTTGTATAATAAAACTTATAGTTTTAAAACTTGGTTTTCTAGGAGTTAGCGAGGACGTGGACTTCGATTCCCAACTTGACTTTTGGTAAGTGTCCCTGCTTGTTCTATGCGTACTTGATTAAAGTGCTTTCTTGACTTGATATGTGAAAACTGGAAAATGGTTTCTGATCCATCGAAGTGAGCAGTTTATACTTTATCACATTAGCCTTTCGAGTGGTGAGTTGTGTGAAATGTTTTCGTAAACATCCTGCTTGCACTTGCTAAGCACTGAGTAGGGGAATGTACCACACCTGAGGGTAGGAGGGTCTTTTATCCTATCTCATGTGCTAAGTACTGAGTAGGGGAATGTATCACACCTGAGGGTGGGAGGGCCTCTTATCCTATGTTAAGTACTAAATCACTAGGCAGGGGAATGTACCACACCTTAAAGGTGGGAGGGCCTCTTATCCTGACCTAGTAACCACGTGTTGGTTGTAACGTCGTTGGGTGAATCCCTCGACCAGGTATATTAAAGTATACTCGAGTATTACCACTCTCTTGTTTGGCGTTCGGGCCCGGTACAGGAGTATGATAAGTTGGTCGGAGATAAGAAAAATAAAAAGATCTACATGGATGTTTATCTCAATTCATATCTTTTGATGATTACAAAACAAATGGATGTTACTAATACTTTTTGTAGAGACCCTTTTCAGAAACGACACTAAACAGGTCTGTGGACTTAAAACAAAAAAGAAGATCAAAAAGGATGAAAAGTGCTGAGGAAGATGTCGGACGCACAAAAAGAGAGTATCGGACGTCCGACATCCTTTGAATATCTTCGGACATGTGAAGAACTCAGACTCGGACGTCCGAAGAAGACAAGCCAGGGCTTCTACGATTATTGATCACGATCGGACGCTTAACACCTGAGTATCGGACGTCCGACAAGCGTTGCTGCACTTCGGACGCAACACTCTGGACGCATCGGCCGTCCGAAGGAATTGAAGAGGAAATTCCAAGTGTGCATCTTACCCTCGGACGCATGGTGATAAGGGATCGGACGTCCTAAGAGATTCAAGAAAACTTCCAGAACTCATTGATCTCGTTCGGACACATAAAAACTGAATATCGGACGTCCGACAGCACCAACGGCTAGTTGACTCTTCAGTTGCCTTCTACCCGTTGACAGCATTAATTGAAAAATTTTCTGGTCTCCTATAAAAAGAACAAAGTTAACCACCTCAGGATAACTTTGTACATCAAGTCTACATCATATCGTGAGTGATTCGAATGTTAGAATACTCCAAAGGAACATTTGTATTCTTAGCTTGTGCAATTTTCTTGTAGTTTTTCAAGTGTGACACAGCTTCTTCAATAGTGTAGCATTGTGAGGGTTTTTCGAGTGTTTGTAAAACTTTCTTGTTTGACCAAGTGTGGTTTGGAACAAGAAGGAAGTGATCCTTTCCTTGTACACAGGATATTGGTTGCAAGATTGTTCAACTTGAAGTAACCTGGTATATAAAAGTGCTGTTCAAACTCCAGTTGAGTTTGAAACCTGGTTTGTTTCTCTATTTTCGTTTACAGCTTTTCTATATAAACTGTTCTCCTCTTCATCTTACGAATACCTGTGCTTTCTTGTAATCTGATCCATTGGGTGGTCTTTGAGAAAAGAAATGTAAGCTTTGAAGAAAAGTGACCTATATCTTAGCTGATTTTTTAGAAAACCTAATTCACCCCCCTCTTAGGTTGTCTTCGATCCTTACAATTGGTATCAGAGCTTGGTTTTCTAGAGATTAAGCTCAATCGGTTTGGGAGTAGATATGACAACCAACAATGCCATGTTCTTTGAGGGACAATCTGTTACTAGACCTCCAATGTTCAATGGATCAAACTATGTGAGTTGGAAGGAAAGGATGATTATATTCTTACAATCTATTGATATTGAGTTGTGGTTTATTGTTAGTGAAGGTCCATATGACGCAACTATTATTGATGAAACTACTCATAGGCCGAGACAAAAGGCCAGAAGTGAGCTGACTGCTGAAAATAGAACTCATCTCACTCTAAATGCCAAGGCTATGAACGTTCTATACAGTGCATTAGACTCAAATGAGTCTATTAGAGTCAAAGACTGCAGATCTGTAAAAGAAATTTGGGATAAACTTAGAGAGATCCATGAGGGAAGCGAGAATGTGAGAGAACAAAAGAAATCTATTCTAGTCACTAAGTATGAATCTTTTAAGATGGAGCCTCATGAAAATATTGACAAAATGTATTGTAGATTCAATGATCTGATCAAGGATTTAGAGGTACTTGAGAAGGAATACTCTCTAGGTGAGAAGAACAGAAAAATTCTGAATGCTCTATCAAAGGACTGGGAAAGCAAAGTGACTGCCATTGAGGAAGCCAAGGATCTAAATATTTTATCCATTGAATCTCTGATTAACTCTCTAACTTCTTACGAACTGAAACTTAAATCTAAGATGCAGGATGAAGAAGACACAAAAGTAAGAAAGAGTATTGCTCTGAAAGCTTCACAAGACGAAGATGAAACAGCCTCACAGGATGAAAATAATTTGGAAGGTGATGACAGTGATATTGCACTCATCACAAGAGGTTTCAAAAGATTTCTCAACAAGAGAAGATTCAGGAAAGGCGGATCCAGCGATTTCTTCCCAAATCAGTCTAATGACTTCAGAAACAGAGGGAAACTGGAGTTCAACAAGAATCTGACTGATAAGTGTTTCGAATGTGGCCAACCAGGACACTATGCAAATAAGTGTCCAATGAAGAAAAAGAAGGAGAACAAGGTTGAACGAAAACCAAAGTTCAACAATTTCCAGATTACCTGCAATGATTGCAACTCAGAAGGCGAAGTTGAAGAAGAAGAGGAATCTGCTCAAGTGGCTTTCATGGCCATTGGAGATGAAGAGGTAACACAATACAACTCTCAAATCGACAGTGATAGTGAATCTGATGATGATGTTAATTCTTTTCTAGAAAAAATGCATAACAGCTTGAAAAAATCCTATGTTAAAAACAAGGAACTAAAGCAGAAAATTAGCTTTCTAATACAAGACAATACAAATCTTTTTCGACAAAACAAGTGTCTTAAGCATGAAAATGAGAACCTGAAAAGGACTGAAACTGATGTGATTGCTGAACTTTATAAAAAGAAAAATTTCTGTGACATACTAAGAAATGAGCAATGTAGCTTAAGAAAAAGGATGGATGATTTATGTCAATTGTTACATCATATGAAACAGAACCGTCTTCAAAAGAATGACATTAAACCTTATGTTAATACTCATCAAATAAGACTGAATCAAAATGCAAATGAGTTTGCTATCCACAGGAGAAGGCAAGTCAGATTCATTAAACCTGTTCATTTGATTGATCCAATGTCAGTATGCAATTTTTGTTGTCAATTTGGTCACATGAATAGCAACTGTTATGTTAAGAAAAACATGAGGAATGACATGAGATAAGACTAACTCTCAAGGACCCAACATGTAAAGGGTACCAAGTATTATCTTGTGAGTTTGTGTGTAGGTGAACCAGGATAACATTGCTAAAGAATCAAAATGGTTCATTGATAGTGGATGTTCAAAACATATGACTGGTGATGCATCACAATTCATTAAACTCAAGCAAAAAGCAAGTGAAAAGGTAACGTTTGGAGATGATAATAAAGCCAAAACTATTGGTATTGGTGATGTTGGTAAGAATGGTCAAACCTCTATCCACAATGTTCTTCTCGTTGACAATCTGAGTTACAATTTATTAAGTGTTAGCCAACTGTGTGATAGGAATCTGTTTGTATTGTTCAAAAAGCTTGAATGTCTCATATTTGACTCAAAGTTCAATATTGTTTTCAAAGGAAAAAGGGTTAATGATGTCTATATAGTTGTTCTTGAAAAAATTGATTCCTCCTATCTCAAATCTCTCAAAGTAGCAAATGAGGACCCATGGTTATGGCATAGAAGACTGTGTCACTTCAACATGGATTTGTTAAAGGAAATCTCTAAAAAGGATCTTGTTAGAGGTCTCCCAAAAATCAGATTTGAAAAGGACCGAATATGTGATGCTTGCCAATTTGGAAAACAAGTCAAGATATCTTTTAAACCCAAGAAATGTGTTTCTACTTCAAAATCACTTGAACTTTTACACCTTGACCTGTTTGGTCCTACACAAACTACAAGCCTTGGTGGTAAGAAATATTGTTTTGTGATTGTTGATGATTACTTTAGATATACTTGGGTGATATTTCTTGCTTATAAAGATGATGCCTTTAAGAATTTTACTTCATTGTTTGCTAAAGTGCAAAATCTGCTTGGCTTGAAAATTGTTAGGATTAGAAGTGATAATAGGACAGAATTCAAGTTATGTGATTTTTCAGAATTTTGAGATCATAATAGCATTACTCATGAATTCTCTATTGCTAGAGTCCCCCAATAAAATGGAGTTGTAGAAAAAAAAATAAAATTCTCCAAGAGGCTGCTCGAACCATGCTTAGTGAATGCAATTTACCAAAATATTTTTGGGTTGATGCCATAAACACAGCCTGTTATACCATGAACACAGTTCTCCTAAGATCAATTTTGAACAAAACCTCCTATGAGCTTATGTTTGACAAAAAACCTGTTGTTGGTTATTTCAAAATATTTGGTTGTAAATGTTTCATTTTGAATATCAAGGAACATCTTGGAAGTTTGACAAGAAATCTGATGAGGGAATTTTCTTGGGATATTGTGAAAACAAAAGAGGCTTCAGAGTTTATAATCGTAGAACACTGACTATAGAGGAGGCGATACACATTACGTTTGATGAATCTAATTGTGACATTTCTATGAGTTGTGGTGAAGATGATGATACAGGTGTTCAAGAAGAACTAAAGAAATTAGCAATCAATGATCATGACTCTGCTTCACCAGAAACTGATTTAAAGGATACTGATACTCAGGACAGTCCAGCTGGAGAAGTGAATGACAGAGATACCACTACTCCTAATGATCTTCCAAGAACCTGGAAATTTATTCATAACCATCCCAGGGAGCTTATAATTGGTGATCCATCTGAAAAGGTCAGAACTCGTTCTTCTAGACACCTAGTAGATAATTTTGCTTTAGTATCACATATTGAACCTAAAAATGTTGTTGATGCATTGAATGATGAGCACTGAATTTTAGCTATGGAAGAAGAGTTAATCCAATTTGAAAGAAACAAGGTTTGGACCCTGGTTGCTAGACCACAAGACCATCCTATCATTGGCACAAAATGAGTTTTTGGAAATAAAATGAATGATAAAGGGGAGGTTGTTAGAAATAAGGTCAGGCTGGTGGTTAAAGGATACACTCAAGAAGAGGGAATAGACTTTGATGAGTCCTTTGCACCTGTAGCTAGGTTGGAGTCCATAAGAATGTTTCTAGTATTTGCATGTTTCAAGAATTTTAAATTATTTCAGATGGATGTTAAGAGTGCTTTCTTAAATGGTTTTATAGATCAAAAAATCTATGTTGACCAATCTCCTGGTTTTGAAAATGAATCTTATCCAGATCATATTTTTAAACTCTCAAAAACTTTATACGGATTAAAGCAAGCTCCTAGAGCATGGTATGAATGCCTGAGTGGATTTTTGATTGAAAATGGTTTTAAAAGGGGTATTGTAGATACTACACTTTTCACAAAACAAAGCTCACGAGATCTTTTAATTGTGCAAATATATGTGGATGATATCATATTTGGTGCTACTAATGAGAGCTTGTGCAAGGACTTTTCCATCATCATGCAAAAAGAATTTGAAATGAGCATGATGGGAGAACTGAACTTCTTCCTTGGACTCCAAGTGGTTCAAACCCAAGATGGAACATTTATAAATCAAACAAAATACACCAAAGAATTGCTGAAAAGATTTGGAATGGAGGATTCAAAGCCTGTTGGAACACCTATGTACACCTCTACCAAACTTGACAAAGATGAGGAAGGTACAAAAGTTGAGGAAAAGAAGTACAGAGGTATGATTGGAAGTTTACTTTATTTAACTGCCAGTAGGCCTGACATCATGTTTGCTGTATGCTTATGTGCTCGATTTCAATCCTGTCCAAAGGAATCACACTTGAATGCAGTAAAAAGAATTTTTAGATATCTTAACGGAACCTTAAACTTTGGTTTGTGGTTTCCAAAATGTCATGAACTTCCTTTATATGGATTTTCTGATGCTGATTTCGGTGGTTATAAAATAGATAGGAAAAGTACTACCGGTATATGCAACTTTCTTGAAAATTGTTTTGGTATCTTGGTTTAGTAAAAAACAAAATGCTATCTCATTGTCCACTATTAAAGCTGAATATGTTGCTGCTGGTGCTTGTTGTGCTCAATTGTTATGGATGAAAAACACATTGAATGATTTTGGTTTAGTGTATGAATGTGTACCTATGTACTGTGACAACACTAGTGCAATTAATCTGACAAAAAATCCCATTCAGCACTCTAGGACTAAGCACATTGATATAAAGCATCATTTCATTCTCGATCTTGTCTCAAAGGGGGTAATCCGTGTCCAGTTTGTTTGTTCTAAAGAGCAAATCGCTGATATCCTCATAAAAGCTCTTCCACTGGATCAATTTGTGTTCCTGAGAACAAAACTGGGCGTTTCAGAAAAAATATTCTAAGTTTCGTTTCTGGTCAATCTTTATCGGACGTCCGATGAATTGGAACGGACGTCCGACAGTGTTCTTCGTCCAGTTTCAGAAAAACCCTGGTTCGGACGATTGTGTCGGACGCTTCACTTCGTTCGGACGTCCGACACTCAAAAATTGAGCACTATAAGACAGTTACCCATTCTTTCCAGTTCATTATCTTCCATAGTGTCGGACGCAACTTTTCAGTTTCCTCTCATATTTGAAATTCAAATTCCTCTCTCATCAAACCAAGTTCCAAGAAATTGACTCAACTAACTCCATTACACCTCTATTGTTCATTAACCACTCATAAAAATCACTCCTAACCTCCAACTACCCCAAAACTCCCAATTTACATACGAAACCCTAACTTCACATAACTCTCTCATTGCGGCATTTTAGTGCATTCTAGTTGGCTCACACTGCATTCCTCCTCTATACACCACATTCTGCATCAAAAATCATATCCACATTGCATCATTGTTAGAATCAGAGGAGGATCTACTAGTGCCGGACGGTCCTTTAGACTTAGAGATGAGGACATTGAGATTGTGGAACCACCTCCTGTGCCACCTAAAAAGAAGATTGTGACCCGTGGTGATAAAGTAAAGCAAACTGTCCAAAGAAAATTGGTTACTCCAACTCTGAATCATCTGATGAGCAGATGGAAGGGCAGAACTATGAAGGGAACATTGTTGGTGGAAATGAGGAACCAGAGCAGGCTACCCAGGGTGATGAAACTGTCACAAGATCATCTGGTAAAAGAAAGAGAACTGCAAAGAGGAAGAGCACTCCCCAATCCAAGAAAAAATAATCTGCCGATCCCTCTGTTGATCAGTAGGATGAAGGAAACATTATTGAGAATCAACAAACACCTGAACCCTTCACCAGGAAGTCTCCAAGGACAAGGACTGAGGCTCAAAATGTTGAGGCATCTGCCACACAAACATCAAATAGGAAACGTTCTGGAAAGGCTCCTGTTTCTCAACCCGTAGAAGAACCCACTCATCTCCCAAAATTCATTGACGATGAAGCCAGAGACAGATTTGAGTTAGTCTCTCAAAAAGGGTTCTCACCCAAAGGCTCATCCTTCCCTATGAATTTCGTAAGCTTGATCTTGAACCTGTTATTAAACTGTTTGAATTCCAGAAATGGACTCATCTTCTGACCATTCCTAATGTCTTTTACCCTGACATGCTTTATCAATTTTTTGTTAACCTTAGGAAGGGTAAATCACACACTGAACTCATCTCTAGAGTCAACTCTGTAGACATCACGTTAACTCCTGACATTGTGAATTCCATTCTGAAAACTAGTATTGAATCTGGTTTCAAAGGAAAAATTACAAATTTCTTTTCGTATGAGGAATTATCTTCTGCCTACCATCATTTTTACAATGCTAAACTCATGACCTATTTTCAAACCCACTTCAATACTCCTGCTGAGACAAGATTGGATGATCTCAATCCTCAGAATCTGATCATCTTCACCATCATTTCAAATTTGTTGGTGCCAACTGATGGCCACAGAACAGATGCAAACAAAATGGAACTCTATCTTTTCTACTGTTTTGTTGAAAAAATTCGCATTGATTTTGGATTTGTAATGTGCAAGTTTCTGCTCAAAATTAGCACTGACAGTCGTAGGAAGTTCTCTTATGGCAGATTTTTGACCCCCATCTTTACCCATTTTGAAATACCTTTTTCTGAAAAATCTCCCAAAAACAGTGCTTCATCAGTTTTCTCAAAAGCTTACTTTGAACGAAAGAACTTAAAATTTTTTGATGGCCATTGGTGCTATAAGGAGACTGTGATTGAGTCTAGAAGAAAAAACTTTCATGAAACCCCTGTCACTCTTAGGACTTCTCGTGATCTGTCAGACTATGTCTCTCCCTTCACCATTCATCCCTGAAAGCCTGCCAGCAAGTCCTTCACATCCAATTCTGAAGTCATCTCCTTGCTTGAAGACCTCAAACAACATGTCTTGCTTATTGAAGATGGTTTCATGATGACCATGACCCCTGCCCAACAATCCTCCTTCATTGAAAAAAGAAATCTTCTTGTCCCTCCAATACCTGAAAACAATGCAAATGTTCATGGGAAAGAGCCAAGACCTGAGCCCACAGGGCCAACTACTGGTACTGAGACCACACCAGCTTCCTGTTCTCAGCCCAAGGATCAAGGCAAGGCTCCAACAACTGAGGAAGCATATGAAGATGATGATGAAGAAACTGAGGAAGAAGAGGTCCCTGAACAGTTTCGTCTGGCTAGGAAGAGGCCTAGATCATCTAAAATCACCATTTAGGCACTATTAGGTCACTGCATCTTAATCTAGGACTATAGTTCATCTTTTGCATTGCAAAACTTTTGGCTAAGTGATGTACACCTGGTCTGTACAATTGGATATTTTCTACTATTTATAGATGTTATAACTAAGTGTTTGTTATGAATGTTTAATGGTTGTTTGTTATGGAATCTGCTGAATGAATGTGTTTGTTATGAATGTTTCTGTTGATTCCAAATTGTGCTGAACATGAATGGATTTTGCTGATACTATCTGATATTGCGTGTTATTGATAATGTTTCTGATGGATCGTACTGATGTTATCTGATACTGCTGGTATCAAAACTGATACTCACTTTTGTAATGACAAAAAGGGGGAGAATTGGATTAGCACTGATGGTGTAGAGTAACTAGTTAGGGGGAGTCAGTTTCAGGGGGAGTTGCGTTGGATTAGCACTGATGGTGTAGATTGCGTTTCTTCCTGTATACTCATGCACTTCGTTAGGGGGAGTTGTTATATCCTAGTTCGTATATATTTGCTCTATCCAAATGTTTTGTCATCATCAAAAAGGGGGAGATTGTTTATCTTAATTTATATCTTTTGATGATTACAAAACAAATGGATGTTACTAATACTTTTTGTAGAGACCCTTTTCAGAAACGACACTAAACAGGTCTGTGGACTTAAAGCAAAAAAGAAGATAAAAAGGGATGAAAAGTGCTGAGGAAGTGTCGGACGCACAAAAGGAGAGTATCGGACGTCCGACATCCTTTGAGTATCTTCGGACGTGTGAAGAACTCAGACTCGGACGTCCGAAAAAGACAAGCCAGGGCTTCTACGATTACTGATCACGATCGGACGCTCAACACCTGAGTATCGGACGTCCGACAAGCGTTGCTGCACTTCGGAAGCAACACTCTGGACGCATCGGCCGTCCAAAGAAATTGAAGAGGAAATTCCAAGTGTGCATCTTACCCTCGAACGCATGGTGATAAGGGATCGGACGTCCTAAGAGATTCAAAAAAACTTTCAGAACTCATTGATCTCGTTCAGACGCATAAAAACTGAATATCGGACGTCCGACAGCACCAACGGCTAGTTGACTCTTCAGTTGCCTTCTACCCGTTGACAGCATTAATTGAAGAATTTTCTGGTCTCCTATAAAAAGAACAAAGTCAACCACATCAGGATAACTTTGTACATCAAGTCTACATCAGATCGTGAGTGATTCAAGTGTTAGAATACTCCAAAGGAACATTTGTATTCTTAGCTTATGCAATTTTCTTATAGTTTTTCAAGTGTGACACGGCTTCTTCAATAGTGTAGCATTGTGAGGATTTTTTGAGTGTTTGTAAAACTTTCTTACTTGACCAAGTGTGGTTTGGGGTAAGAAGAAAGTGATCCTTCCCTTGTACAAAGGATATTGGTTGCAAGATTGTTCAACTTGAAGTAACCTGGTATATAAAAGTGCTGTTCAAACTCCAGTTGAGTTTGAAACCTGGTTTGTTTCTCTATTTTCGTTTACAGCTTTTCTATATAAACTATTCTTCTCTTCATCTTATGAATACCTGTGCTTTCTTGTAATCTGATCCATTGGGTGGTCTTTAAGAAAAGAAAGGTAGGCTTTAAAGAAAAGTGACCTATATCTTAGCTGATTTTTTAGAAAACCTAATTCACCCCCTCTCTTAGGTTGTCTTCGATCCTTACAATGGAGTTTAGGTAGTGAAAGTTGACGGAGGGTCAGTTACGATAAATTTTGATCAAGCGAGGAGAATGGCTCCTGAGAGCCCCTGTATCCTACCTTGTGCTGTTATACACTTTCCTAATTGTTTCCTTTAGTTGAAATCAATAATTGCTACTTGCCTTATGTAATTGCATGTTTTGGGGCACCACTGAGATTTAGCTCACCCCACGTTTATTTGTTTTCCTTGACAGGTCTTGACATTTGAGAGATCTGAGCCTACTTCTATTTTCTTATGAATGCATTTGAACCTTATGACTTAGCTCTGTAGTTGTAATGTATTTCGGATTAAACAATGTAGTTTTGTTTCGGGTTGCCACTTGAAGCTGGAAAATGTAAACCCTAGATTAGTTATGTGGCTTGTGTAAATTTGTTAATTAGCCTGTAAGAATGTATTTGGTGAGTATGAATTTGTTAATTGGGATTGTTTGATTTTATTCCATGGTTTGTAACGCGTAAGGTGTTTAGGAATCGACGAGTAGCTATCTTAAAGTGCTGTTATCTCTGAAGTTAATGTGGTCTTAGTTATTGGTCTATTTTGGAGGATCAATATTGTAATAGTTTAGGCTATACTTCGAAAGGATTTTACTAGCTTGCTGGCGTGAGTCCTGGCGAGAGTTAGGCAGACGGCCCGCCAACCCTCTGGTTCGCCTTAAGGGGAAGTGGGGTCGCCACAACGACGAGGTAAAATATCTAGAAAATAATGTTAGGAACTAAAGTAATTGTATCACTATAATGTAAACAAATAAAATGATAATAATAATGTAGTAATGCTATAAAATAAAAGGGTATTTTTGTCCAAACTTTCTTCACATGTTGAGCTGAATTACTTATGAGGGTAAAGTGACTAAAAGATAACGTTAGGAGATAAACTGATAGTAGTGATATAGTTTAAGGGGTAACATGATAATAACCCTGAAATTTTTATTCCCTAATTTTTTACACAACATGGAAATGGAAAAAAAATCACTCTTTTTTCTTTGACGGGTAGCGGCTTGAGATAATCTTTAAGCATTATGAATCAGAACTTTCTTATCGCATTATCTTTGTATTAGATCTATCGGATTACATTCTAACCAATCATTATAATCAGTTTTGATGAATTCCTAATTAAATTAATAAAAATAGGGTAAGGCAATAAAGAGGCGTGGAAATAAACTTTAAATTGTGAAACATCATCCAGGAACCAAAAAGACTTGCAAGAACAAAATTTGGACAAAAAGAATCCGAATGCACACAAAAAAAAAAAAACTACTGTACTATGAATGGATCATCCGGTATCGTTTGGAATTGCAAGAATTTTGAAGCCGTTTCACTTCAATCCGACGCCGGCTCCGGCTTGGAGAGCCTCTGATCTAGCGTTGAATCCAGCATTGGCCAACAACAAGATTTTTTACTGTCTTCTCATTTTCTTGATATTTTTTTCCTTTTCGGTTTCAGATGTTTTTCGCCTATAAATAGGTGTCATTAGGACTTGTCTTAGTAGACTTTTAATTAATCATTATTCAACTGTTGTTGGTTTATTGTAATTTTCTTGAATGTTTTCAAAGGTTTACCTTGATTCTTTTGAATCGTTCTTGAGTAGTGATTAAAACACACTTTGAGTTCAACTTTTTTTTTTATTTTTGTTAGAATAAATAAAGTAGAAAATACTCCAAGTAATTTATTATTACGATCGATTCTGCGTGCCTGCAGGAATTCTTCGATCAGGAACTAAGTAAACAACTACAAACAACCAAGCTTCTTTAACGTTTCAAACAAATAACACAAAGCAAAAAAAAAAAAAAGAAAAACTTAGAAAACAAACCTTTTGCTGAATAACAAATTAAAAGAAATTCATAACAAAAGAAGAGAAAGCCAAACGATTCTGGAAAAAGTACGATGAATCTTTTCAACCTATTTGACAAATCAACCAATTGAAAAGCATTCAAACTACGACTTTTTGCAAAAGAAATAACAATATATTATAGAAACAATTTTAGTTTGTCACATAAATGAATCACAAATTTTGTAGGAACCAAAATTTTTTGCATTTAAAATCATAAAAGTGAAAAGGGAAAATCAACTCAGAAACCCAAAACGTGCACAATTGATGAAACCTGAATACCAAAAAGTAATGAGGAACGAGACACAATCAAAAGCCTGAAGATAACTAATTTTAGAGCACAATTAGAGGCTAGTGTTCATATAATCGCGTCAAAGCAACTGCATTTGACAAATTATAAGTCCAATGATGAAATTAGTAACCTTATTCAAGATATATGCAGTAAAGCTAGGTTTAGAGAATAAATTCAGCCTCACATACAGGGTAAAAAAAACAAGGGAGAAATTAACAGGTTAAATAGTGCAATTCTAGTTACAACCATATATAGATTATTTGTAGATGTATATGTAAATCTATTCTTTGTAAACCAAAAAATACCCAAAAAAGAGCAATAATCTTGATACGAACGCCACCAACCTTGTGACAAAACCACTAAAAGACAAGCCCCAAATTTTCAAGGTTTCAAGAATTTCAAGATTTGAAAAGTTTGAGCACGAGAATTCAAGAAACCTTAAAGATTGTTTCAAGATCTTCAAGAACTTCTGGAATTTAATCAAGAAATTCAAGAAACTCAAGAAAGATTCAAGAAACAAAAATGAACAGCCAAGATTTCCCCAAAAATTTCAAGAACTTCAAAAACCAAAATTTAGGGTTTCAAGTATCAAGTGAGAACAGCTCACACAATCCAAGATTCAACAAGAGTCACAAAGGAACCCTAGGTAAGAACTTTGGATTTCCAAGAAACACTTTGAACAGAATTTTTTTTTTCGAGATGGACAATATCACATGATAAGTAGATATTTTACGTGTTTTAAGTGTTTTTTATTAGTTATTTTTGGTGTGTTTTAATTACTTTTATTGCTAATTAACTAGGAATCTAGTGAAAATATGCATTTTATGGTTTAAGTGGTAAAATTGCATTTCTATGGATTTTAATGGTAAAAACTTCATGTTCTTGTAGTTTACTGATTCAATCCTCAGATGGAGTGATTTGAGAAGATATTTGATGATGGTTTAAAGTGATAAAAAGAGAATATGAAGTGCAAGAGAAGAAATGCAATCAAGAATAAAAGGAAGCAAGTTTCACAGCTTTAACACCTTGTGGTATTTCAGCTATACCTTGAGTTACAAGTATTGGATTGAGGTAATTCTTGAACCATTTTAAAGCTAAGAGATAGATCTATATTTGATATGAAGACATCAAAATCCAGTTTAGTCGTTTTCAAAGTCAAAAA